TGGACCCCGGGGGCTGCCCATGGACCCTCGCAGTCCCCACAGGCACCTTGCCAGGGGTCTCTGCAGGCTGCAGCAGGCACACAGCACAAGGATCTTGATTCAGACATGCCCACAGGTCACATTCAATGCCAACGTTTGCAAACTCAGAGAGTGGGAGGAAGGAATAGATGCCCAGAGAGACTGGCAGTGTGCTACCTGCACTCGTCTCAAGGTTTATCCGTCTGTTTTGGTGGTACCTTAGAAACCCCAGCAAACCTTCTACAGGGCATCTGACCCTGGGGAGTTCTTGTGGATACAGCCAACTGTTGTTTGCTTCTTCAACACAAAGATTGGCTAAAACATGAAGCGAATCACTTCCTCCTCCTGCACGGGGTTGTCCCTGTGAGCCAAGCTTCACTGACCAGCTCTGGCTGGCTCTTGCATTGCGATGGAGGAGGCTGCCTGGCTCCCCAGCCCTCTTCTCATGGGTCCTTGAGCAGCTGGGTGACTCTCTAGCCTCTTGCTTTCAGTTCTACCTTCAGCATGCTAACACCTGTGGTATTTCTGTCTCACTTCTGCTCTGAGCCAGCCTTTGCCCCATAGCCCCAGACCCCCTGTGTAGCTGTTGCCAGGGCACTAATTGCAACAGAAAAAGCAGAATGGAAGAGCTGCTTTGCCTGCCAGAGCCTGCAGAAGCAGAAGGCAAGGCTGGAGGGAGGTGGGGATCAGAGAGGAATTGCGTCTGCAGCTTCCAGGCCAGCTGCAGATGGGGACAAAATGAGAGCTCTCATGCTCTCAACCATGTTGCATCACTTCCACAGCACTTTGCTCTTTGAACAATCCTCCCAACCACCCCACAGCCTTTCCAGGCTCCCTGCCATGCTGTGGATGGGATTCTGCTCGTGGCGTGCAGCTCGGAGCAGAGCTGTGGTGCCTCATCCAAGAACTGAGCCTGAACTCCAGGAATGAGGTTTGCATGTCTCCAGTGGAGGCTGGACATCTGCGACATCTGAGCTTGCCTGGGAATGGAGGACACAGTACTGCCCAGTGTCTCTGCACAGCCAACAAGAAGCAGGAGCACCAAAGCCTTTTGTATAGCTGACAACTTGTGTTTCTAGATTGTGCCTTGATTGAAGTTCCCTTTTTCCCTGCTTGCTATTATTCCCTCAAGGGGAGGGAACAAGAAGTCATGCATGACACCAAAAGATTTTAGATGTATTTAAAAACCTGACAAGCAACCTCCCCAGACCAGTGCCATAGCACCAGGCTAGTGCTGACACCTCTGTTTGAGATTTAGTTGGGCAAAGAAAAAAACTTTCTGTGAGGCAATCTAGAAAATGCTCCTACACTGCAGACCCCACTGAGAGCAATAGTTTCTCACCCTTGAGGTTTTTGAATCACTAGTGTGTCAGGCATTGTAAACCCCTCACACACCATGTGCCATGGTCCTTTGCTAACCACAGAGCAGCATGTGCATCAGCCGGTGCTTACTCATGTGTCTTGGGTCTGGCTGGGATGGAGTTAGTTTTCCCCATAGCAGCCCTCAGAGTGCTGGGTTTTGTATCAGTAGCTAGAAAGGTGTTGATAACACACCAGAGTTCTGGTTATTTCTGAGCAGTGCTCCCACAGCATCAAGGCTGTCTTTCCAACATTTCCCCTTCCAGTAGGCTGGGGGTGGGGAAGGTCTTGGGAGAGGACACAGCCAGGACAGCTGACCCAAACGGACCAAAGGGATATTCCATACCATAGGACGTCTGCCCAGAAATAAAAGCAAGGAGAACAGAGGGGGAAAGGTGGGCATTCGTTATTTGTGTTTGTCCTCCGGGGTAACCGCTATGCATACCAAAGCCCTGCTTCCTGGGAAGTGGCCAAACGTCACCTGCTGATGGGAAGTAGAGAATAAATATTTTGTTCTTCTTTTGCTTCTGCACATGCAGTTTTGTTTTGTTTCTATTAAACTGCCTTTTGTCTCGACCCATGAGTTTGGGGTTTTTGTTCCATCTTATTTTCTCCCCTCCCCATCCTACTGAGGAATGGGGTGATAGAGCGGCTTGGTGGGCACCTGGCATTCAGGCAAGGTCAACCCACCACATAATGAAAAACCACCATGTGTGGCACACGTGGACGAATGGAACATCCTCACCTTGCCTACACCCTGTGTCTTGGCCCATGCAGTATCCCCCCAATGCATCCATGGGATGCTCCTGGTGCGGACAAATCACAGCAAAACCACCTCATTATGTTATTGCAGGTGTCCATGGTCACCTGCTGGATAATTGACTCACCAGCACCAAGCCTAGTTAGCACTAACCACCCACCCCAGCCTGGACTTGCTGGTTTCCACACTGCTGCTGTGGGTGGAGATGGGCCAGGGCCAGGGCAGCTCCACGGCTGGCTGCTACCTGGGTGCCTGTTCTCAGCCTCTGCAGCCTGCTCTGCCTTTCCTTCCTGGGCACCCAAAGGACCCTACAACAGCCCTCCGAGCAGCTGCTCTATTTGTATACACCTGGGTAGAGATTTGGGAGCTCGTGGTCCAAACAGACTGTCCAAATCACCCATGGTTTAATCACTGTCCAAACACAGCAAGAACTAAGCTGTCTGCTGAGCCAGCAAAGCTGCTTGCAAAGGCAGGGAATAATAGAATCATATGAATCATGGAATACCAGGTTGGAAGGGACCTCAAGGATCATCTGGTCCAACCTTTCTTGGCAAAAGCATGGTCTAGACAAGATGGCCCTGCACCCTCTCCAGCCAAATCTTAGAAGTGTCCAATGTCGGGGAATCCATCACTTCCCTGGGGAGATTATTCCAATGGCTGATTGTTCTCATTGTGAAAATTTTCCTCTTGTGACCAATCAGAACCTCCCCAGCAGTAACTTTTACCCATTACCCCTTGTCTTTTCCATGTGACTCCTATTAAAAAGGGAGTCTCCATCTTCTTTGTAGCCACTCTTTAAATACTGGAACATGGTGATGAGGTCTCCCCTAAGCCTTCTTTTCTCAAGGCTGAACAAAACCAGTTCTCTCAGCCTTTCCTCACATGGAGGCTTCCCAGTACTTTGATCATCTTTGTGGCCCTTCTGTCCAGCTTGTCCACATCTTTTTTTATAGTGGGGACCAAAACTGAACACAGTGTTCCAGGTGTGGTCTGACAAGCACTGAGTAGTGTGAGATAGTGACATATTCATCTCTGCTGGTGATGCCCTGGTTGATGCAACCCAGCATCCTGTTGGCTTTCTTTGCTGCAGCACCACACTGTTCACTCATATTGAGCTGTTTGTCCACCAGGACCCCCAGATCCCTTTCCAAGAGCTGCTCCCCAGCCGGGTAGATCCCAGCCTGTGCTGCACTCCTGGGTTATGTTTTTCCAGTTGCAAGACCTTACTCTTTGTTGAGCTTCATAAGGTTCTTCTTAGCCCACTCTTCCAGCCTATCCAGGTCTTCCTGCAGGGTGGCTCTCCCTTCCAAAGTGTCCACTTCCCCACTCAGTTTGGTATCATTGGCAATCTTAATCAGGGTACTCTTGATCCCATCATCCAGTTCACTTAAGAAGATATTAAACAGCATTGGGCCCAATATAGATCCCTGGGGGAACCCACAGGTTGCAGGTTGCTATTTACCACCATCCTCTGGGTGCAGCCTGTCAGCCAGTTCCCCACTCACTGCATAAACCACTTATCTAGACTGTAATGCATGAATTTCTCTAGGAGGAGGCTGTGGAGAACCATATTAAAAGCCTTGGTAGGGAGGCTGTGGGAAACTGTATTGAAAGCCTTGGAGAAATCCAGGTAGACAATGACCACCGCTTGCTACCACCCCACATCAACCGAGCAGGTTACGTTGTCATAGAAGGCCATGGGGTTTGTCAAGCACAATTTGCCACTGGTGAATCCTGCTGGCTCTGCCCAATCACGTGCTTCATTTGCCTTGTGATAGCCCCCAGGAGGATTTGTTCCATAACCTTTCCAGTAAGACTGACGTGCCTATAATTTCCTGGATCCTCCTTTAAGCCCTTCTTGTAGATGGGGGTGACATTAGCCTTCTTCCAGTCTTCTGGGACATCCCCTAATCTCCATGACTTCTCAGAGATTATGGAGAGCAGCCTCACAATGACATCAGCCAACTCTCTTAACACTCTTGTTGGATATTGTCAGGGTCCATCGATTTGTAGGGGTCAAGCTCCTGTAATAGTTCACATACCAGCCATTCCTTCACTGATGGTGGGTCTATGTTGACCTGGATTCTTGTTCCCAGACCCTGGGGCCCAACAGTGCTGGTAAAGACAGAGATGAAGAAAGTGTTGAAAACATCCGCCTTTTCAGTTTGTTGGTGACTAATTCACCTCTCCTGTTTAACAGTGGGGCAATATTTTCCTTCTGTTTCTGCTTGTTGTTTATGTACCTGAAGAACTCTTTGTTCTAGCTTTTGACATCCCTGGTCAATTTCAATTCGAGCTGAGCTTTTGTTTTTCTGACTGCATCTCTGCATGCCCTGGAAATGTCCTTGTAGTTCTCAGTGGGTATTCATCTGCCTTTCCATCTCTGGCATACTTCCCTTTTGGTTTTGAGCAGACTCAGAAACTTGCAGTTAAGCAAAAGGGGTCTCCTGCTCTGCCTACTTCCCTTACCTTTAAAGGGGATGAACTGTTTTTTGTGGTTTTGTGTTCCAGGGAGAACATTCTTGAAAAATTCCCAGGACTCAGTAGCTCCTTCATCCTCCATGGAAGCTTCCCACAGAATGCCTCCCAGTTGAGCTCTAAGCAAGATGAGGTTTGCATTTCTAAAATCTAAAACCTTTTTCTTAGCACTAACCTTCAGCATGCTCAGCAGGATCCCAAACTCCACAATACTGTGATCACTGCAGCCAAGTCTATCACTAACCGAGATATTACAAAGCAGGTTTTCTTGATTTAGGAATAGCAAGTCCAGCAGTGCCTCATTCCTTGTTGGCAGATCTAAGATTTGTACGAGGAAGGAGTCCTCTGCGCATTCTAGGAACTGTATTGTTCTTCCACAAATATCTGGGTAGTTGAATTCACCCATAGGAACCAGGTTCTGTTAACCCAAAGCTTGCTTAAGTGACCCAAATATTGCTTCATTTGCCTTATCATCTTGGTTTGGAGGTTAGTAGCAGTTGCCTACTTTAAGATCCCCCTTGGAGATGACCTCTCTGATCTTGACCCAGAGGCATTTCACAGGGCTTCCACAATCACTGTAGTTGACTTCTATATATTCAAGGTCCTCCTTAACATAGAGCATGACAACTTCCACCCTTGGGAGCATCTAGAAGAGATGAGCTCGCCCATAATGCAACATAGACAGGTTTCTAGAAGGACCTTGGTGTACTGGTTGGGGCTGGGGAAGGGATCAGACTCTCCTTACATCCCAATGGCCATGGGCAGAGTGGACAGCTGTAGCCAAGACTTGGTTTAGACAGGGAAGGGTCTCAGTGAAATGCCTGAGAATTAGTAATAACCAGAAAAAAAAAGAAAAAAAAAAGACTCCTGCCATGCTAGGAGGTGAGATCTCTTGCAGGTAGCCAGATACTGTGAATTTGCTTGAAGTCTCCCCCACCTCTTGGAGACCTTATGTATAAGGTGGATTAACCCAGGAGCTAAGCCTGTGCGAAGCCAAATAGGAGCAGGTGCTGGATGCTTGTGGCATGTCACCAACCAAAAGCTGGGCCAGGAACTTGGTATCTCCTGGGTAAAGGACTGTTCCTGGCGAGCAGGCAGGCAGCACGTCCTGCTGCAAAATGAGCACTCCAGCAGCACTTGCTCCTTTTATTTATTTATTTTTTATTTTTCCTGCATCACGTACTGTTCCCCTGCAAAAGCTGGCAGAGCTGCTGGCTCCAGCCCAAAGCCAGGCTGCCCAGTGACAGCTTTACACCGGGGATGCCTGTGGGGACAGGGTTTGGATGCCAGGCTGGTGTTAAAAGTACCTTTGGTCCCTTGGCTAAAAAGTGCTGCAGTTGGTGTTTTTCGTGCTGCGATTGCACCACCAGTGTCCCCTCCGAGGTCCTGCGCACTGACAGGGCTTGCTTTATTGCCCATCCTAGCAAAAATAAAGTGCTCTGCAATATTCTGTGTTGCACTGGGCTGTGTGAACTGGATCACTCTCTCTGATGTAGTGAGGAGCCATCCATGTGCTGAATAAAATCTTGCAGAAGCAGGTGAGCTGCTTCTTCCAGCTCCCAAGTACAGGTTGTCTCTCACTCATTCAGTAAAGCAGTTACTTTGCAGGACAAAAGAGGTGACACTCAGGGGAGCCAGGGAGGTGTCCTGGCCAAAGGATTTGGTAATTGTCCCCTCTGTCTCCAGATTATGCAGGGTCCTGATCTTCTTCACAAAGTCCACATGGAGATGGGACGTCTTTCCAGGGATGTGCCCAGCTTGAGAGATCCTTTGCCTCACCCTGACCCCAGGCTGTGACCCCTCAGCAATGGTGAATTTAAAATCCTGACAGCGGCATGGACCATCCCTCCATCCCCGGATCGTGGGGCTGCTCTGAGTGCTGCATGCCCTTCTCCATTAAGGTTCTTCCTTCCTTGTGGCACCAGAACTTTCTGACTAAGAGAGTTTTTATCCACATCAATCCATGATTTATGCCAACGTCTTTTGATCCCCTGTAAACTGTCAGCACCTGTAGTAACCTATGGCTCTGAGGACTCAGTGTTGGGTGGTGAAGTCATTTTTGCTGGTTTTGAAGCTGTCACAGGCTAGCACTGTTTGGGGTGCCACTGCTCTTGTGCTGTGAGAGATGCGAACAACCAGCCCTTTCCTCCTCCATAAGGTCACTGATGGTTTCAGACCTCAGCCATCTCTTTCCCAGGCTGAAACATCTCAGATACTAAGCTGTCCTTCAAAAAGAAGCTGTTTTCTACTTGACTGTGCTGGTCAAAATGATTTGACTAGCTCTTCCAGGTCCCTTCCAGGTCTGACTCTTCCAGGTCACATGTGTGAAGCTGCTCAGGTCTCAACACAGATCCCTGAGGGGCTCCTGCTGTGACTCCTCCACTCACACATGTGTACTATTGCTCCCTGTCCTCCAACAGTCACACATTTCCCTGCCCTTTGTCACCGGTCACCCTGGCACAGACTGCAGAAAGGGAAGTGGCTGGCTGTGTCTCCTCTGGCCTCCCACCATCTGTCCCCTGGGGTCCAGACCAGACTGAGCTGAGAACAAGTGAAACTACAACGGAACAAATGTCTGCGTAAGCACGTGCCTTTTGGTCAGTTTGGTTTTTTTTTATGGGTATCTTCCAGCTTGCAGGACAGGCAAAGCTAGTTTTGGGGATGGAGCCACTACAAGCTTGGTGGATGGTCAGTGCTGCAGTCCCAGGGACCCCTGGAATGCTGCTCTTGCCCTCACACATGCTGCAGCAAGGGAGGGGACAGTCTTTGCAGACAGGATCCCATGACTGGGGAGCCACTGGAGCCACCAGAGCATCTTCTGAACTGGGTGTGAGACCTCAAGCAAAACAGTGGTCCTCACCTGAACATGCCTTTCAGTGATAGTGTTCCCCCTTCCTCTGCAGCAGCAGGCCTGCAGCTTTGCTGGGATTGTCCTGTGCAACAAGGCAGCACAGAAACCCCAAGCGAAGCCAGTTCCCACTGGGACAGTGCCAGAAAGGTGCCAAAGAAGACCTGGCAGCTGACCTGAGAAAACTGCCATTCATACAGCCAAGGAGGATGAGAGGGATAAAATAACGTGAGGATGAAGAGAGGAGAAGTTGAGGTATTGAGGGAGGTGTGTGGTATTGAGGGAGATCCACTCTCTGAAAAAAAGTACTTTGGGGAATTGGAAGTGGCAGGGAGCAGCACAGGAACGGTGCTCGCAGCTCCCAGGGATCTCCTCGGTGAGGTCCCAAGCAGGAGGAGGCAGCCACAGCAGGCAGATGCTGTCTGAAGGCAAGGAGGTGCTGGGGTGTGTGGGAACCTCCTGCACAGCAGAGCCTGGGCAGCCCTGGGAGGGCAGTGGGCACCAGGGGGGCTGAGCAGGGGGCAGTGGCTGAGTGGAAAATGGAGCCAGATCCTGCCTGCCAGAGAGGGGAGCCAGGATTTCTTTTCCCAAGCAAGCAGCTGTAATGACATGTGTGAATATCCTATTTCTTTCCTTGTTCCTCCTCTCTCAGCCGCTTACAGGAAATTTATTGTTGCCTTCTTGGTCAGGATATGCATCCAAGGGAGATTTATTGGCAATCTCATGGCCAGAGAGGAGAGATTTACAGGAGCCCATCCCCGCAGCACACACAGGTGGACCCAGGGTGTAACATGGAGTCTCTGATTTATTATGGCAAATGATGGAGATACAAGCAGGCTGACTAGCACGGCTGGGTTGCTCATTCAAATACCCATGGGAGCCCAAACTTTCCAGGAGGTTTTTAGCAAGCTGGGAACATTAGAATGAACAATTCAGGGCCTGTCTATAGCTGTCAGCACTGTCTGGATTTCTGCCCGAAAAGCCTCTGTTGTTTCTCTGTGACTATGTTTAACCATTCAGTGACTGCTCTACCATTGTCCTCAGTATCCCACAGAGAGCTCTGCAATGCCCGCTGAGCTCAGC